GCCCTCACATTAATTCTAGCTGCCTAGCTAATACATCTGTCATGGTTATCATAGCAGACCCCAGTGTTCTTTTGCTTCTCAAGTGGCTACTCCAGTATCATAAAGGATTTGGCTGAGGATCAACAATCTAGACACTAAAAGAGGAAGAGTCCTTCCTGGAACAGGGAGGCTGGGAACCAGAATTTTAATGATCTGTTTTAGGTGCTGGCAGAAAGGCAAAGGAGGCGGTGGAAGGCTCACTGGCAGCTGGGATCTGTTAGTACCGCAGCCAGGACCACGCGGCTCTGCACAAGCACCTCCAGCATGAGGTCTCCTCAACTGTTTCCACTGTCAGTGCATTGATACCTTCCTTCAAACTTTTTACAGATTCCCTGGGACACCTCAGATGGGTACGGTACGCTAAGAGAAGTATCTAAGTAAACAGACATTCAAACCTCTTTTGGTGTTCAACTACTACACATATCCTTGCCAACATCTTTGTGCTGGGGTTCAACAGCTGGTTAGGCAACTTTTGTTATTTACTTGAGCTTATTCTCTTCCTCCAGAACTAGAGACAATTGGTAGAAAATAGCCCCCTTTGCTTCATCTTCTTTCTCCCCCTATTTTGGAAGTAATCCTTGTCTCAGGCCTCAAGGGAGCAGACACAGTATATTGCCAGGTGCATACATCAAGCTCCCAAACTAGTGCATGAAAAGATGGTTTTAATTAGGCAGCTCTAACATGCAATCAGAGATTTGGATCTAGGCTTCAGAACAGTTCTACCCAGAGCACAGCTCTCATAAAGCTTTGAATGTGTTTAGACCTAGCAGAAATCTCTGAGCCAACACCAAACCAAGAGTCACATCTGAGCAATGGTGTGCTCAAGCTCTACTAATAGTTTTGAGAGCAGCAACAAACGAGTGCAATTATACTGTTTCCAGAGTCAGCTCAGAGCTTTGATCACTGCTAACTTTGTACATTTTGACCCTACAGTCAACTGGAATGGACAGCATTTGGATTATAGTTTTACTTGTAATGGTGAAGGTTTAATTCAACCCTAATCAGTGAACCTAGTTTTAAAGTGTCTTTATGCACGTGTCTATGTTGCAAGCTCCCATTATAGCCAGTGGAGATGTAGCAATAGTCAGGGGCATCTGGCAAGTGACCCACTTCACATTAAGGTAGGTAGATAGTGGTAGGGAAGCTGAAATGCCCTTCAGGCTCTACTGTCTACATCAGTCAGATCTCCACTGACTACAATTGGAACTTGGATATGTGGCTTGAAGGTAGACACTTGAATGTAGGAATAAATGTAGAAAGATGTTTCAGAAGGTAAGACCCAGCTAAACATGACAGAAAAGATGAATTTAACCATAAAGCTTTTGGCTTCAGCCTGCAAGTTGAGTTTCTGGGCTACATACCTTTTACCAGTGAAGACTGAAAAGTAAGAAGGCTACCGAGCACAACTCTACTACACAAGTAACACTAAATTACAAACACCACTGCCATTCATAGTGTTCCTGAAAAGTACTTACTGCATTTTTTTAAGCAGACTAGCAAACATGCCCCATTTCTTCCCCCCTCCCCAAAAATAAATAAATGCCCATTTTCCTTTAGATCAACAAAAGCACAATCACAGTGGCAAACTCATTTATAGGAGATGTTGTGCTTCGGTTCCTTGTGTCTGAAGTAAAAAGAAGAATCACCCATGTTGTTGTTTATTCACTTTTCCTATTTAATTTTGTTTTGCTCCTAATTAGTGCTCAAGTCAAATATAGGTTTAAGTTCATAATATAAAATAAGGTCACATATAGACAAAAGTTTCTGTTTCCAAGGGCTGTGTGACTGCTCCAACACACAGATGCCTCTCTCCTTAGCTTTATCCTTCTGGAACAGCTAACATAAAAACAAAAAAAGAAAGAAGCTAAAAAGCTAAATTCCATAAAACATTCAGATTTTCCTCACCAAGTGGTATCAGACTGTGCCAGGCACACAAGTGCATCAGTACAATTCAAGTTCCATCATGTTGTCATAGGTGGTAACAGAGTCTTAGGGGAAAAAGCAAAAGCAAAACAATTTTGCACTAAATTTTTTACACTCTTCAGACAGGAACAGCAGGCAACAGACAAGGCATTAGTGGTTCTGACATGACACAACTGCTCCCCGAATTCTCAATTTGCATGATTAAACCATAGCTACTTACATATTTGCATGTGTACCAAGACACATGCACACACCCAGCTCCCTCACAAAGTTTAAAAGGTTGACACACTTAACTTGTCACAAAAACACGTACAGTAGCAATCAGGAGGACAAAACGGAAAGATTGTTTTTCTTCTTACCCAGAAAAATCAGCAGAATACTGTCCATAATCAAAGATATAGACTCTAGTAATTTGGCACACAGTGAGGTATCCCAAAGCAAAAACAAAGCAATACCTGAAAGGAAAATGGAAAAAAAAGCTTTTCAATGAAAACAAACATTTCTCCATTGAATAAACTACCATTTGACTATTACATAATTGGAGTGTGTAATTACACCTTCATTCTGGTTGGAGTTTTTTGGCAATATTTATTCTACGCAAGCACATCAACTTACTTTTAAATGTGCACAGTACTCACAGAGTCTATTGTCATTAGCAAAAAATATTTATTGATGTAAATAAAACGGAATTTGTAAATTCAAGTGTCACTGTAAAAACTGGAAGTCCTATAAAGAGAAAATAAAACTGTCAAGTTGGGGGGTTTTTTAGTTCAAAGTTAATTTTTCTCTATGAGTATAAAAATGTGGCAAATTACACATCAAACAATTTCAATGAAATGTATTTCTACACATTCAAAATTCAGTACCACAAATCCCACTGCTGCTGTTTTCAAAGGAACTAGAAAAGGCAATTTTCAAGTACAAATATTAAAAGATATCCAAGAAAGAAAACGAAGAGGATGCCTTCCTGCCTCCTGTTAAAGCTGATCCTCAGCAAACTGAGAACCACCTTACACAAGTATTTTAAATTTAATTTCACGTGTAATTTTTTCAGGTCAGTGTTGGGATCCCCCCTGCCTGCCTTTTTAAGATGTACAACAGCACACTAGTGAGAACTGATTTGCCAATACACCTCACAGAACCTGCCAGATATTCTTTGCAGTTAAAAAGGATGGAGAATGCCAGCAGCAACTTCACTAATCCCTTTGGACTTTACATATGAACTTCATAGTCTTGAAGATTTCCACACAACTTGGGAAACATCCATGGTAATGTAATCAAACACGTGTTTCATGTTCACAAGACTAATGTGCAACCCCTACAGCAGGCCGTATTACACATTCAGAATTCATGAACCAAATGGAAAATCATGACTAGGACTTAGGTGAACAGTGAGGGACGCTACAGGAAGACCCTGGAACGTGCTTTCCCTTTTCCAAATAAGTATTTTTGCCAAAAAAAAGAAGTGTTAATGTAAATAATTCTAAAGTCTTATAAATTATTCTTTAATCTGAAAGTTGCTGTACAGAACACTTGCAGTTTAACCTTTAATTAGGAGTTGTGCTAGATATAAACCACATAATAAGTTTAAATATCCAACCTCCAAATTACAGATTACCTTATATATCAGTAGCTAACCACACTTCTTCCTTTTTTGGGGAAAAAAAACCCAAAATAGAACAAACCAAACACATTCAAGGTGCCTGTTTTAGCAACCGTTTATTTTCTGTTTTCATGAATATTAATAATCCAGAAACGGTATTACATTGGGTGGCTAACTGGTACAAAACTATAATAAGAATCCAACAAAATTACAAAATAATTGGCTTATAATTATGCTAAATTATTTCAGCAAGAAAAATGATTTAACACAAAGGGTACGTAGAGGACTGAAGGTATCAGGAATGTGATACAACACAGAACTCTAAAAAATACCCAACAAACAAAACCCAGGTTTCGCACGGATGAGGAGTATGCGAGTTTGCCCACACTGCAATCAGCCCCAGTTCTTCCATTCACTAAAAATTCAGTATGATTTTCAGCTTTACCAACCTCTCAATTTACATGCTAAATAACCCTAGAATAAAAGTAACTTGTTACATGTAGAGGTAACTACAAACTCAGCCACAGATAACCATACTGAAAAGCCAAGGTAAAAATAAAACACTGTAGTTGTGTTGAAGAGAATCTCATTTTATCCCCACTGACAAGATCATGTATTCATTAACAAAAGTCTATTCACAGTATATTGCAACAGGTCTAAAACAAACAGAATTGCAAAAGTAACTAACTACAGCTTTCATAACTTAAAGTGCTATCCATAGCAGCAATACCTACTTCGTTAGGATGAGAAACACTTGTGTCATTAGGCCCACACCCTCAGATGGAAGAAAACACACCAGTTTCTACCTCATATAGTTTATGTCTCAAAACATTTATGCTGTTTTTAAATGAGACATTACGAAGACTTCCTTTTGCAAGCAGGCAGGCTATGGTGGTTAAGTACAACTGAAATAAAACTAATGAATATCCTATGAAGTAAAGCACTGAGAAGTCAGAAAACCTTAAGTTCTTTTCTATATAGTTATTATGGTACAATCCTATGTGAAAATGTAACTGCAAATTCCTGTCTCACTGAAGAAACACATCATTATTCCCGTTATCTTTCAAAAGCTTAGCATTTAAGTTTTAGACACATCCAGTCATTTTACTTATTGCATACCTCCCACATGCTGCACTCGAGAAGTCTGGGATTTCCCCATGAGCATTTCCTCAGTTCTTCTCCATGCATTCAAGTGTTTAGTAAAAATTGCATTCGTCTTTTAAGATGAATTTTGTGATACTCAATGTTACCCCAGTTCTACATATATGAGGAAATTGAGAAATGGAGAGGTTACATGGGTCTGAATACCAGACTGGGGAGATACAAGGTCAGTTATTGGGCAAACTTGTCTGTTACAAAGTTGACAGAAAGGACATCACCAGTAGCTTTCAGTCACACATACACAAATCGATTCCCAGGCGTTCCATGAAAGGTGAAGCATTTTATATGTAGCTAATAGAAGTAGTTTAGATCACATTGTAGTGCCCTACACTTAGGAACAGACTGTGGCAGCAATGTTACCCAATTATGGAACAGTGAAATGTGCAGGGCAGTTTAAAGGTTACTTCTTCATCTGCAGGTTCCTGTGGCTTAAATGCCTTCCAGCTTCTACAGCAAGTTAACGTTCTGCAATGAAATGACTGGCTTGGAAGATGAGGGGAGAGCAGTGGGTATTGTCTATTGACTTCAGAAAAGTTTTTGATGCTTGACATTCTCACGGACATGCTGATGATGTATGGGGCTGGGTGAGTCCCATACATCAACCCACAGTCAAGTGGGTTGAAAACAGGCTGAATGGCGGGGCCTAGAGGGTGATGATGGGTGGCACGAAGTTAAGTTGGAGGCCAGTAACCATCTGTGTACCACAGGGGTCAATACTGGGTCTGATCCTCTAACATCTTCATTTATGATTTGCATGATGGGGCAGAGTGCAGCCTCAGCAAGTTTGATAATGACACCAAACTGTGAGGAGTGACCAACACATCAGAAAATCTTGCTACCATCCAAAGGAACCCTGACAGGTTGGAGGAATGAACTGACAGAAACCTCATGATGGTCAACAAGGGGAACTGCGAAATCCTGCACTTGAGGAAGAACACCACCAGGCGCAAATATATGCTGGTAGCCACCCAGCTGGAAAGCAGCATGGCACAAAAGGACCTGTGGGTCCCTGTGGACACCAAGTTGAACATGAGGCAGCAACACATCCTTGCAGTAACAAAGGCAAGAGGGAGGGACAGAGCTTTCCCAACATCTTTAAGGAAGAAAACATCATCTGCTATGACACTTGGTCAGGAGCCCAGCTGGCACCTTGCCTCGAGGAAGCCAGAAACATCTGTCAGATCTAGCATCTGCTATCCTTCCCAGTACCCTCTTCCAAATCAAAACCTAACTTTACTATGAAAAGCCCAGTTAGTAAGAACAGTGAGAACATGAACACATCCCTTTCTGCCTTCATGATTACACAGCATTTCTCTGGTTTTGGAGTATGCTGACCAAAACGTCAGCCACACTGGTACTTCCAGATTTCCTGGAAATAGACATTAGCCATCATGATGAACATGGTGGAATTTTTCACAATCCATGTATCCATGCTGAAGTTGTAGTGCAGAAATGGAGGAAAAATAAAAGGCAACTTAAGCTCCTGAGATTCCAGATTCCATTGTGCAATCTAAACCAAAATCTGTCTTCCCACAGAGCAGTGAAACATGTTGCTTATGTTGCATTCACCAAACACAACTGTGAATTTTAACTATCTTCCAACTCTGTCAGCCACCAGGTCCAAGTTATACGCAGCTTGGAAGACTTCAAATTCTTAAAAGAACTTGCAGCCCATACAATGCTTTTCACCTTCCAAGTGCATCTCTGCATGTTAGCCATGCCATATTACATCCTTTATTGATGAGAAATGTCATTTAACCAGGGGAAGTTCAGCAATATGTTGTCCCTGCAGGAGATTTTAAAAGCTTACAACAGCTTGCGTCACTCCTGTTGTTTCTCCTGCAGGTTTGTGGTGTAACTTGCTGATCATCTTAACTCTCATACACAACCGGCTTTACTTTAAAAAAAACCTCAAAACAAATCTGAAAGTGTTTTGAAAACTTCCTAAGTATTCTCACTGCTTCTTACCCTCTTCAAGGACTCGTTCTCCAAAACCACCCCTTAGATCAGAAAATTGAGTAAGGTTTTGTAAAGCTCATCAACTTGAAGTTTTACCCAACTACAATACAATTAGTTACAGGCTGTATACGAATGCAATGGTTTTACCCAAGGCTAAGTTTTTTCCTCCAGAAAAGCAATTGATCTTAAAAGTCAATGTTATTCTATACCTGCTACTCGGTGAATAACGTATTTAATACATTCTATCTATAAAATTCTACCATTCCTTTAAAAGAAAGATACCAAGTAAACTAATTAGCTTTTTAAAAAGTATATTCTAATATAGTATACATCAAATATAGCATATTGTATACACATATTACAGTATATACAAAATACTAGGTAAGCAGCCTCTCCAAGCAGAACTCTACAGGTGTGCATCAAGAGAATTAATTCTATTAAAAAGAATCTTCTATTAGCAAAGAAAATACATTACCCTGTATTATTCTTTCTTGACCAGTCCTTTTGTCAAGTAACATTAATCAACATAAATGAGGGGTTTTTACCTGCATATATATATAGAGCCAAAAAAATTCCTTGTATGTGTATGTATACATATATACACACACACCTATAGTTCCAGTTCCTTCACATTACATGAACCTTCTTTCATTTTCCAGCTCAACATACATTTCCTATCACACTTACTACTGCTAAACTGGAGTAGCTACATTAAATAGATTTCTGAAGTAC